CAAAACCCAAAGCTGCCACCCCACCTGGATGTGTTTCCCAACGTAACAACCTGGACTGCGCGGACGTAGCTAACACGAAAGGCGGCGCCGCAGGCACACCGTAAAACGATAGCTCTGCAAGGATGTTTAGTGCGGATAAGGTCTCCTATACCGTTAGGCTTTCGTGTCATTCACTCGCATGCCGTCCGCCAACCGGAGCCCCCGCCTTAAACTTAGCCCGACTCCCCGGGTTGCAAAATTGTGATCGATCGTTTGGGATACGCCCGGCATATGATCCGCCGCAGCACACACACCATGCCAAATGAGCTGCTCCGATTGTGTGCGTTATTTTTCTTTTTTTTCTCCTTCGTGAAAGCTATAAAGCCGCTCAAAGTTTAACGCCACCGAAAGGGCCCGTTCGGGGCTGAATTGCAAGATTGTGTCCAATCGTTTGGGATGCGTCCGGCGTGTGATCCTCCGCAGCACACACACTATCCGTTTTTCTTTCTTTTTCCTCTTTCATAAGGGCGTTCTAGACCTAACGCCACCGAGGGGCCTGCTCGGGGCTGAACGCCTTACCAAGCCAGCCCATTTCGCCGGGGAGCCGGCCCGATGAAGTGGCAGCGACGAGAGAGAAATGCCCATGGATATCCGAATGTCAATCATCCTAGCGGACCCCAGTGCCCCAACGCCACTATACAGGTGTCGCTATTGTGCATTAGCCGGCCATCCAGCCGGCACACATTTGGTAAGCAGCCACCCGTCGCAAACCGAAACGACCTCCCAGAAACACTGTTACCGATCGTGGGCAAAAGGTGAAGGGAGCGAGTAACGGCGGATGTTCTATAAGACGGTGAGCCCGGAAGCCAAACAAACGCACCGGACTCTATGTTATTTCTCCACGGATTCAGGTTCCTCTGGACCAACCTGGGCATCTTTACCAAAAAGATGTCTTCGAACGTAACCGTCATCGGCGCTATGCCGCCCCCGCCGGGTGTTGTGCCCAACTTCGATGATCCGCCTAGCTTGGCGTCCTTCATCATCGCCATTAGTGTCGTCCTCCCAGCCTTCTCGACATGCTTCGTTGCATTGCGGTTCTACACCACGCTTAGGATCACCCACGTGCGAGAAATGTCTGACAGTGAGCTGCGAGAATTCTCAAATTAATGGTCCGAGCCGATCTAACTTACCTACCTGCGTAGTTCTGTTAGCTCTCGCCTGGGTATGTTGCCAGCTGTTATTCCCATGGTAGCTCCTTAGAAACTAAACCCAGTCCAGCTGCTAGGTGTGGCCTTTTCAGTATCGTGCCTAATTCGTAAGTATGCCCATACGGGTCCTTACCATCCTTTCCTTCGCTTACTTATTTATATTTGCAGACCTTCGATTCGGCTTCGGCCGCCATCTATGGGACGTCCCCTTTACGACGTTCAACATCCATTTTTTTAAGGTAACCAGCGAACCCATTCGTGGTCGTCCAGCTCCAGTGTTTGTAGCGCTTACTAAGTCTTAAGCTTTTTAACAGCTTGGCGCGATCTCAGGAACGTTCTTTGGGATGTCTATTACCTTTTCCAAGCTCTCGATTCTGGCCTTTTACACGAGGTTTGCCGGCACTGCCGGTAAACATCATAAGGTTGCCATCTACACCCTCGCCATTATCGTTCTTATTTACGGCACCGTCACTTCATTCCAATTTCTTTTTGATTGTCAACCCATTGAGAAATATTGGGATTTCACCATTACCGACGGAAAATGCATCGACTGGATACCCCTCATGGTGTTCAACGGTGTGATGAATAGCCTTACTGACGCAGCCATTTTAATTCTTCCCATTTGGCTGCTCTGGCGTTTACGTCTCCCGCTTCGGCAGAGGATGGGAGTGATGGGAGTAATGATGACCGGCGGCTTGTAAGTTGTGCATCCCGCGCCAACACGACTTGAACTAATTTCGCGAGCAGGATTCTCGGCGTTAGCATCGCCAGGGCAGTAAAAACCGTCGAAGGGCTTTCGAATCCAGATTTCACCTGGCACACGGTTCCATTGTTGGCTGCGATGTATGTTTACCTTGTGCGTTCGGGACGTTGAACCTTTAATATCTAACATATAGCCCTTAGTGCGTGTGAGACGCATCTTGGGCTGGTCTGCGTCTGCCTACTATCCGCCAAACCCTTCCTCAGGAAACATTTCCCAAAAGTTCTCGGGAGTTCTCGCGGGACTCACTCGGCTACTTACGTTAACCGGTCGAGGACGACACAGTCCGGTGCGCGTGGATATCCACTGTCGTCGCGAGACGGAGATGCGATAGCATTGGGTGACGTTGGCCAACAATCTCTGTCACGTAAGTGCAAACCGACCCACGATTGTGAAATGGCCAAAGGAACCGGACCGCTAGGGCCGCCTCATGTTAAACCAGCCATCTGGAACCGGCCGCTAACTGACGCGGCATTTGCAGAGACCGCTATTGTCGAAAGAGCCTCGACAAAAGCTACGGAAGAGGAACAAGGGTCCGCGGTCTGGGAGCATGGGCCTCTCTCGTGATATCACAGAAATACTTGCAGTGTGGTGGGTAAATTGCCCCAGGAGTGGAGCACAGCTCCGGGAGCGGCAAGAGCAAGCAATTACTAGCGCCGTGTGTCACAAAGGAGTGGATCCCGGCCTAGGATCTACGAGACCGAGCCGGTCTCAAAGACCCGGTGCTCGGTAGGGCAGCTACCGAGCACTGGTATATATAGAGCCCGAGGGTCTCCCGTCCTTACTACGTTTCCTAGCGTTTAGAGTAGAGGTCTATCAAGTATCCAGTTTACTGCATGCTCCGCTTCTTTTGCGACTCCCCTTGATCAAAGAAACGTAATAAAATGAAAAGGCTACTGGTCATCGAATTGGGCGACGACTGCAAACGGGCGTTTAACATTCACCCGCAATTGTTCCCCTTATAAAACCTCTGGCTGTACCAAAACTGGCAGACACTGCGGGGGAACAAGACCAGATTGGACGACTTGCAGCCGACGCCCATAACAGCCGAGGACCATGCTTCACTTAACAACCATTTTTATTGCTGCCTCCAACGGTTCGTCGGCGAAGCGGCCGGGAATCAGGCGGGCTCAAGCCAAGGTTCATTTTTAACACCAAAAGAGCCCGGCCATACATGCGTTTATCTTTTGTCCGGTCGCGCATTCTAACAGCTTCTTTGTTCCCATACGAGCTACAGATATACACCGGGCCGCTAACGCTAGCGATTGCGGAAACCTCGTTCCATGGCCGGCTTTGTTTCTTCCAGTACCTTTTCCCGCACGCTCGTACGTAAGGCCAATACCGTTACCAACACACCCTCTCCTCCATCGCCGTCGCCCACGACGTCGAGCCTACTGGCGGGGCATTCCGGCCAACTGGCGGCGCAGGACAGTCGGAGCCGAGAGCTAGGGGTTAAGCGGCCGCGACCACGAGGCGATACGAGCCAGAACGTCGACCATGAGTGCAAAAGAGCGCGGGCAACGGGGAGGGCAAAAAGGAGCAAAACTCCTTCGAGCGACGCACTATCCCCCAAGAGTTCTCCCTGTGCCTTCGAGGGCTTTACGCTCGTCGATAAGGAAACTGTGCCGCCGGTCCAGTTGCCGGCGGCCTAGCCCAGCCAACCGACGGCGCAAAACGGCAAGCACGCACGCCAGTGAGGCGCGCCGCGACTGGCGACAGTAATGCCCATATCCGGGCGCGTGGGAAAGGAAAGTGCGTGGCCGGGGAGACCGCTAGCTACCCGTTGCCTGTTTGTATTTCTGACTCGAAGCGAGACGGGGAGGGGGATCGACGATCTTTCCGACCAGGTCTACCACCCAAGCCGCAATAACAACCAAAAACGTATCAGCTGCCTATGCCAGCGGTCCTGGCCTGGTATTACGCTACCGCGAAGGTGCATTTCCGTTTAAGCCCATCGAAAACGACGTCGGCCAGACAAGCTATGGCGAACCATCGCGACCGTTTTGCAGCAGAGCAAAACGATCACAGCACAAATCCCGCCGCGTGGATTGCCGTTGCCATGTTCCCGTGCATCATTGTCAACGTGGTTGCCGTCAAGTGGTACGGCGAGGCCGAATTCATCATGGCGTCCACAAAAGTCCTGCTTCTTTTCGCCCTTATCCTGATTACCGTCATCACCATGGCCGGCGGCAACCCGCAGGGCGACGCCTACGGATTCCGCAACTGGGGCAACGGCAACTTCATCCACCCTTACCGCGCCGAGGGCGCCACCGGTAACTTCTTGGGCTGGTGGAAGGTCGTCCTCTACGCCGGATTCACCATTGCGGGCCCCGACATGATCGCGCTCGCGGCCGGCGAGATCCAGAACCCGCGCTGCGCCATCCCGCGCGTTGCCAATCTCGTCTTTTACCGCCTGGTTGGATTTTACGTTATTGGCGTCCTCTGCCTCGGCATCATCTGCAGCTCCGTCGACCCAGGCCTTTTTGATGCCATTAAGAACAAGAAGCCCAGCGCCTTTTCGAGTCCTTGAATTGTCGGCATTAAGCGCATAGGCATTAGCGTCCTCCCCCACGTCATTAACGCCGCCATCATGCTGTCGGGGTGGTCGTGCGGTAACGCCTACCTCTACTCGGCCAGCCGCACGCTGTACGGTCTGGCGCGCGACAACCAGGCGCCTAAGTTTTTCCTTAAATGCACCAAGGACGGCGTGCCCATTTACTGCGTCGCGGGCGTGTTGCTCATCGCGTGCGTCGCCTTCCTCGTCGCCTCCGACTCGGCCGCCACCGTCTTCTTCTGGTTCGTCGACCTAACCACCACGGCCCTCATTATGACCTACACTATGATGATGATCGCCTATATCGGATTCTACCGCGCCCGCAACGCCCAGGGCATGGACACTGCCACCCTGCCCTACGTGGCCCCCCTCACCCCCTACTCGAGCTACCTGGCCCTTGTCCTGGGCTGCACGGCCGTGCTATTCGTCGGCTTCGACACCTTCTCGCCGTTCGAGTACCGTGACTTTATCACTGCCTAATTCGCCTTCCCTTTTGGCGTCATGATGTTCGTGGGCTACAAGGTTTTTAAGAAGACCAGCTTCGTCAACCCGGCCGAGGCCGACCTGATTCGGGCAAGAAGGAGGCCGACGAGGAGTGCAGGCACCGAGAGGAGGGCAGCATCCAGGAGAACGTCAGGGCGCGCCTGGCCGAGATGAACTTCCTGCGGAGGACCTGGGAGAAGATGTGGTAGAGGGAGCGGGGCCCAAGCGAGTAACATGTGTCCGACTAGCACGAAAGCATTCTCATTTCCATGTAACTGTTTGCGAATAATTTGAGGTCTCATGTTGAGCGAACGATGCGATGCACTATGGCGGACCATCCCGGCCACTTCTTCATTTGGAGATGTAAGTGATAGGCATGTGATGCTACGAAAGGTGTCTCCATGGTCCTTCCGATAACAACAGATCCTTCTATCAAACGTGCCAAACGCCCACGATTAAAGTGAGCTTCTTGTTCTCGGACGCGGCCGGTAGTCCGGGCCGCAGGCCTCGTCGACACGCCTGGCGCTCTCGACGCACACCTTCTGCAGCAACTGGCTGTTGATGTGCCTGGTGTAGAGTCCGCGTAGCCCAGGCAGCCACTTCACGTCGTTGGCGCAGTACCGGACGATCCTGGCAGCCAGGGGCCGACGCGAGAACACGTCCTCGTTAGCATCCATGAGGGCACCGACGCCCTTCTTGGTCTGGAGCCAGGGCCCAGCACCTCCTGGCGCGGCTTCAGGTGACGCTTAACGGCCATGTTCAGCCCCCACAGGCGCGTTTTGTTGGCCCGCCGCGTCGCGTTCTCGAGCAGCTGCACGTCGGTCACGCCCGCGAGGCGAACCCGGTGGTGCGACCAGAGCGCGTCGGCGTCGTTGCGCACGCCCCAGAAGTACTTTGGGACGTCCGGATCCCCGAGAATCCCCTTGAGCGTCCTGTCGGCTCCGTTTGCGGTGGTGAAGGCGGTGTCGGCGAGGGTGTGGACGTCGATGAGACTTGTCTTTTTCGTGGGGCGGACGAGGGCGGTGAGAATATCGAACGTCCCGTTGCGGCTAAGGTTCCTCCCTTCGAGATCTAGATACAGTGTGCTCCGATGGGAAATCGAGGAAAGGAAAACTCGAAGCTTCTCCACCGAGGCGACGACGGTCGTCGTGGGAGCGGGCATGTTTGTCGATAGCAAGAAAGGCTTGGCTTAACTGGAAGGTAACATCTCCGTTCGTTCGTCAGTATCCTTTGCGCAGCCTTTCCTGATGGCGAGCCAAGTTCTTTTGCAGAGTGTATACTTTGCCACAGCTACATTTGAACCTATCTTTCCCTCTACATCCATGGTGAATTTTGATGTGGCTGTCAAGTTCGCGTTGCGCAGCAGTTCCCACCAAGAGCAGTTGAATGGGGCAAATGGGCACTGTTTTGGCTCGTGTGGGTATGGACGTGCTTGCTAGCAGCTTGTTAGAAATATGATAGAAGTAAGGCTGAGGTAGAACGTATGTAAGTAGGCTTGGCAGATCGAATTGCATAGAACAGCCACGCCATCGGCAATGATATTTTGTGGGGGTAGTGCTGGCGTTTGATGATGATATAGAGCACGGCGGAAGATCAGCGACTTGACGCGAGGTGCACAGAGCGTCTGTGCCAATGCCAGAATCGGTTTGGGTCGGAAGGACCGAAGCGTTCAAGGGTTCGTCGAGTGGTACAGAGAAACCAAACAGCGCAGCTGGAACTGTGGAGAAGCCGGCTGGCTGCATTAGGTCAAGGCTCTAAGCGTCTTGACCCTGGTTCTCGTTGGCACCGGGGAACGGATGTGAATGGTCAAGGTAGAGGCCGGGTCTAGGAAAATATTGGCTGTTAAAACTCGCTTGTCCGGCCGACCAGACATAGGCCTCTGGCGCACTCTCCGATGGTTGCTCCAGAAGTCGCTGTGCTGGGTATTGATGGCTACTCAGAAGCTCATTGAGGCCCGGGGCTTCAGAGGCAACTGGAATCCAGGTATCTCCAAGCGCAGGAATAAATTCGTTAGCGCTAAGCAATGCCATCTCCCGTGCACGGATTGGAATGGAGCGCCATACCGGTGTCACTGCTATACGCCGCCGCGTGTGAGAAAATGACTCGACCGTGCCCTGCCTCGCGAGACCAGTCATCTCGCCGCAGGCCGGGGCCTAGTGCAGCTGACTGCATTTGGAAACAGGACGCCCTCAACTTCTCCGCCCGAGCAGGGCACTGCAGCATTCCAGACCCGAATCATGTGTCGCCGGCAATGAGGCCAGCGGTTCGCCACCAGAATTCGCGCCACGTTCGGAGGGGTAGCGATACGTCAGGTTCAGTTGCCCGCAAAATATGGGAACGCAGACACCCATCCTGGCTGAGCAAGGCGAGGCTTCGAAGTCTGCAAATGAAGCTACTGCACCAACAGGCGGGCCTCATTCTTTGCGCTGTTAATCGAAGATCTGCATGGCTCTGCGAATATCGGACGATATCTACAGGATGCAGCTATCCACCAAACAGGTTACCCACCGCAAGTGGGAGAATGGAGCAGCTGCGCCAATCGTAAATTAGCTAAAGTGCCAAATCCGCCCTCGTCCTCCATTTCCCTCTCCCTTATCGCCAATGGCATACAGAAGTTCCATGCAGGTGCATGGTCAAGTGCGGTGGAACAAATGCCATTCCGGACTGCTTCACAGCGGATGGCGGCTGCAGTCCCGCAAGCGCTTTCGGGGTGTGATTGGCAATGCCCAAACTCGCACAAAAGAGCTGCATGCATTGCCCAACAATCGCCCGATTTCTGCAAACAGTTGCCCGGATCTGACGCAGACAGATGTCTCCCACCACTCGTTAGAATGATTGTGACGCGGACTAGGCGTGAGTCTGTGGGAGCCGCAGATAGTGGCAATCATACCTCCCGCCAGCAGACAACCTGGCCGAATTTTTTGCTTCGGGTCCCAAAAGCCAGTCATTGACAGCCCAGAGTGGAGGGCCAGGAGCGAGTGACTCCAAACCTCAAATCTGGGGGGCCCAAATTGGCCTCCTCCCGGGCTGTTCGCACGGTGCAGGCAGCACTATACTCCCGTAAACACTGATGGATGGTGAGAGCCCGGCCTCGATTCCCGGGGAGGCAGAGAAATGCACAATTTGCTGTGTGGACGAAAACATTGGTGCCTGTCGGAGCTCTCGCTGGAATTGGAGCGGGTGATCAAGCAAGCCGGCTTATTAGATTATTCGGCCGAAAATTGGGGTGCTCATTTCCGCGAGGCCGGTATCGTCGATGGGGCTGCTATTATCCCTTTCGCATTAAGGATCTGTGATCCAAATTCGAAAAGTTATTCGGCGTGGTCCGATGTCTATTGGCGGTCTATTCCTTGGCGCTTGATCGGCAATCCTACGAACATTATAATAGCGTCGCATTTTGGGCACGAAGCCGTCGTCAAGCTGCTGCTGAGATATCCAACCATTCGACCTTAACGATAAAACCGCCCTTCGTCTTCCAAGCCAGGCGGCTGCGTTGGCATTCTAAAGATTGCGCCGCCAAAATAAGCAAGCTGTCGCTATCAACTATCGGTCAGTTGCAAAAACGGACTCTCGCACGCTTTCTAATGCTAAATGTAACAACGGGTTCAGAGGTTAAAGCCGGGAAGGCATTCAAAAAGCTCCCGCAACTAGTCTCCGTACAAAAGGCTTTAAATCCAACAGGCACAGCCCGCACGCAAAACAGCTAGGGGCTGTAACTCCGCGATCTAATGCTAGGGATAACAGCGGTTCTAAAGGTCACAACCACGACGGGGTTTAAAAAGTTCCCGCAGATAACCTCCGTGCAAACGGCTCCAGGTTTAGCGGACACAGCCCGTACGCCGAACAGCTAGTGGCTGAAACTCCGCGATCCGAGCTCCGACCTTCAAACAGGGCAAATAGTTCGACCAATTCCGCGCTGGCAGACCTTAACATTATTGGATAAGGACCTGATGCACAACTACTGAACAAAAGTGCCCGCACCCAGGAGCCTCCGATATTAATAACACCCACCGGTTTTCCAGGCAGCTCCGGGGTAAACAAACGGGATTCACACAGTAAACGAGTGGTAGTTAATACTCCGCAATTTACGCCACAGCCAGTACTTTCGAACGGAAAGGGCTGCGATATGGCGGAAGATAGAGGTCGTTTGGACTTCATCTTGGGCAGTTAAGTCAGTGCACCCCCTGTTGACCACCCCCCTGTTAGCCACCCACTTCCCCATACAAACAGGGAAAAACTTACTATTTTCCCGACGCAATTAAAAATTAACAAAAAATTGTATAAATAAAAGGTAGTTAATGTGACGAGCGTGGCGTACAACCCCGCACGCACCGTCCTAGCACCTTCATAAGTCAGTTTCGGTGACTGTGCAGACAGTCCTGAATCGTGCCCTTTTGGGGGTGTGTAGTGCATTGGGAGTGACTTGTGCCGATCGTTACAGTTAATACACTGCGTAAAAGTGCAATATTAGCTTAATTATACGTATTATGTAATAAATAAAACATACATATAAAAATTCGGATTTTTGCTAATAAAAATGCAATTTACTGCATATTTTTATCTTGTATAATAAAAAAGTTATTTTAATTTTTTAAACTGTTATAAAACACATACATTTTCTTAGCAAACACTAACATTTTGCATACCCCGTTTTAAAATGTAAATTGTAAAATATAGAGTTATAATGTGCAAATATGCTATATATCAGATAAAAGCACTTGTTTTAAGCTATCGAATGATACTTATATTCTTTTTTTATGATTTTATTTCGAATTCTAACTGCGTTGGGAAAACAGTGAGTTTTTCCCTGTTTGTATGGGAAAGTGGGTGGCCAACAGGGGGTGCACTGACTTATATTAACCTGGCTCCTCCCTTACCGCGCGTTAAACATTTCATCTGTAAGGACTCCGCAGGCTGAGGCTGTTTGGGACCGCAATTGTAGCATTGTCCTAGCAACGGGATACGGATATACGAGCTTAGCAGATCCTTCAAAAACTCGGGCGTTTCGGTAGCAACCTCGTCATAAACTGCCATTAGACTGTCGGCAGCTCCTCCAGTGTTATCTCCAAAAGCGGTAGGGCTAGCGACGGTAAATTGGTGTAGCCGTGTCGCCTGCCCCAGCTCAACACGAAGGGCCACAACTGCCTTGTCGCGAAGGGCGCGGACCGAACAGGGAGTCAGCTGACAAACGTCCGGGATTGAATCGAGGAGGTCCTGGAGGTTGGATCTTTTCTCCAGCGCCTTGCCGTACTTGGTAGCAGCCAAGCTCTGCAATCGGTCAACCTGATATATGTCGGCCAAGGCGAACATCCTCGCGTGAATACACAAAGCCGTGAGCCCCTCCTCGCCGCTGCGCTCAAGCTTCTCTTTGCTTGGATCTAGCGTGGCTTCGTTGCAGTCCGTATAATTGCTGATGTAGAAGTATTCCACCATCCGCCGCACCATTACCGGTGATTGTTGAATAATTTCGTACACGCCCGATGCCGCCTCCTGCAACGGCGTTGGTCATGTGGATATAAAGTAGATGCGAACAACTGCTTACCTTGAATGGTTTGCTGCAAGCCGCATGGAACACCTTCGACTGGCTGCACACGATGACTTTATGGACTGGAAACCTCTCAGGGCCGCAGACCAGCACGAAGTCGGTAAATTCGTCCCTTTCACGGGCCCTAGGAGGTGTGAGCTGACGCTTTGAGACGGTAATTAACGCATCCACACCTAGAGGACAACAAGTTGGTTGCTTCCAGACAACCCTCATTGGCGGAGCGTTGATTCGCCTACAGCTTTGGGCATGCGTATCGATCGTCCTAGCCAACTCGAACGTGGCAAGGGTGCCATCTCGGAGGACCAACCCGGGCGGCTAGATCCAGGGCCCTGGCCTCGCACCGACTTGAGGGCCCCCGATCCGGATCCAGGGCATTCAAGTGCAATCCATACTGGGGCGGGGAGTCCGGTGCATGCGCATCAAAGACGAGGGAGCGGCGACACCATCGTTCAATCATTCGCTCAATAAATCATTCAGCCAGTAGCACCTAGGTTTATCAGTGGCTGCAAGTCCCATCGTGGGGCAGAATGCCCCACCAAATTGACTCGATGGCTCTCGTCGATCGTGACGCGCGTGGCTTTCGAAGCAGTAGAAAATGTCTAACGGTGAAAAGCGGGTGTAGAGGCGTCGGCGAACGTTCTACGTGGATCGTGTCTGCCGGTGGAAAGCCCAGGCCCTTGACTCCCCTTTCACTCTCTTCTCGTCATCTAGTTAAGGGTGCCTCTCTAAAAACCCAAACGGGGTATAAGACAGCCAAGGATTGATAGTTCCATGCCGAAACGCAAACGCTCGGAACCCTGTGAGGCGCCTCCGGTCTCGTTAGTCCCGGCTACCAGCAGCGGGAGCTCGAGGAAAGCTTGGAGGTCTGATTAAGTGGCTACCTCCTTCGAACAACATCGCTGCCGATGACTCTCCCAAAGACATTGCGGATGCTGCACTGGAGCATTCGGCCTATAATCACCCGGTGGTGATTTTATCGCCAAAGGCATGCGCCGACGGAACGGTCGTCGTGCTTGTGGTCGGTTTACACTTGTCCACTGCCCGCGGGTCGTGGCCCCACGTCCTGCCGTCGTCCGACGCTGGGGGGTTGATGCGAAACTTGCAATTACCTTTTTCCTAACCGGAAATTGATTTATGGAGCGACACAGATGACGTCTTTCAGGGGCCGGGCCCCTGCAAAGGCCTTATAAATATAGAAATCTGACCCGCCAGAAGTACCAGGGCTACCAAACTCCCACGTGCAACCCTTGATAACGGCGGCAACCCTTTGAAACGCTACAATCGCTACCTTTTTTCCACCTCCTTTGCCGCCTCTTTGCCACCCCCTACCCTGCGGAATATATAAAGCTAGCCACCCGTTGCGGCCAGACTAATGGAGGCACGATGACCTTGCATTGGCGCTATGAACGAAGATTCTACACTGAAGAGAGGTGAAAGAAAAATGCGCTGGTCGCGCCGGCGCGACACGCGCCTGAAGTTGTGAGCCCCTCTATGTGGCTTGCGCGCTTGCGCCTGCCCCACAGTTGTGGCGGTGCCACTGGACGTCTGGCTCGTGGCGCCACCGTCAGAGACAACACTAATGAATCCCGCCATTTGATGCCTACACCCAGATGCGAAAGTAGGTGATCTGTTTGTAATACCGTCAGGCATGCCTTGTCCAGCTTGTTTTATCCTTCTCCAGACTCCCAAATAAACAAACACCTCCGTTCTTCCTAAACAAAAGACAGGATCTGCGTGGCACAGAGATACGCCGCTGCCTCTCAACTTCTATGACAGGCCCAGGGTATTCGTAACCGGCCCTGATAGCTCCAGTCCGAAGCGAGGACTAGATGCGGAGCGTAAACGTGCAATCAAAGTTGACCCTACTCGTTAACACGGATGGTGAGGCCGGCGCTCATTCTCAGAGGCTCTCCTCAATGACGAACTTCCGCATGGCCTTCCACTCGACGTAGCGTTCGTGGCCGATGTGGTGCGACGAGAGCAGCCGGGCGAACTCCTTCTTGGCCTTCGCCGTCGGGCCGTTGAAGTAAAAACGCATTGGCCACTTCTCCACGATGGTATTCTTCTCCTTCATCTGCACGCCTCGAGTGACACCAACGTCGTCGAAGCGGAATCTCTTCATGTAGCTAATTAAACGACGACGTTGTTGTTCTTGTCAGCTTGGAGGTCCTGCTCGACGGGAGAAAGAGGCAAGGGATGCCAATGGAGCACACGGGTAAACTTACGCGTCGAAGATCATGTCTATGTCTCTCGCTGTATCCTTCGCCGCCATGGAGCGGATGGTGAAGTTCAGGGCCTCGTCCCTCAAGGACACCGCTGCCATCATGGAAGTAAAAGGCGCAAGCGAACTGAACTGGGCCGGCTTGTCCATATACTCCATGACCTTTTCGAAGACCTTTTCGTCATCCGAAGTCGGTCCCAGAGACATGACAACCTCTTCAACCGCATTGAGGAAGACCATCAGGATGGTAGCCTTGTCATTGACCTCGGGGGTCTTGAGCATTGGGCTGACGGCATCAAGGGTGCTCTCGATTCCAAGATAGCCAGTGTCGCAGATGTTGGAAGCCTGTTATATGTGTCAGTCTCAGTGATACTAGGGAAAAATTAGCGGGCTTGCTTTGCACGATACGTACCTCGATGCGGTCGAATTTCTTGTTCGGAATCATGTCCTTTAGTAGGCGGACATCCGTGCAGCAAAGCTCGAAGGAAATCTTGCGAAAAGCGAGCTGGCCATGGAACTCCCGACCACGGTTGAAGATGTACTCGTAGAGGGCGCCATACGCATCCTTCCTCGCCGGGCCCCGCTGCGAGTCGAGGACATCAGGAAGAGACCAGCCGGCAAGCGGGTCCGATGAGTCCATCATGGGCCAGACATCCTTCTCTTGGAAGAAGGTGCTGTTTGACAT